ACTTTTGTTGATCGCCTTTTCTACGTCTATTTAGATGACCATATAATTTTTGTCCTTGACTCTGTTAATGTGGTATATCACATTTATTGATTTGAATGTTAAGCCATCCTTGCATTCCAAACATAAATTACACTGGTTATATGGTGAATGATACTTTTAATATGCTGTTGATTTCAGTTTTCTAGTTTTCAGTTTTCTTGTTGAGGATTGCAGCACCTATGTTTATCAGGAATACTGTCCTATAACTCTCTTTTATTATAGTGTTCTCCTCTAGATTTGGTACCAGGTTAATGCTGATCTTGTGGAATAATTTGAATGTATTCTCTTTTCTTTAATTTTTTTGGAAGAGTTTGAGAATGATTGGCATTAATTCTTCTTGAAATGTTTGATAGGATTCACTAGTGAAGTCATGGGTTTCTGTGCTTTCCTTTGACAGCAGACATTTTATTACTCATTCAATGTCCTTACTTATAACTGACATGTTCCTATTTTCTATTCCTTTGTAATTTACTTTTGACTGGTGAGTGTATCTAAGAATTTATCCTTTTCTTCTAGGTTATCCAGTTGACTGACATATAATTGTCAGCATAATAGTTGCTTATTATGATCCTGTACATTTCTGTGGAATCAGTTGTAATTTTTCCTCTTTCATTTCTGATTTTATTTACTTGAATCTTCTCCCATTTTTTCTAGTTAGTCCACTTAAAGACTTGTTACTTTTGTAATCTTCTCACAAAACCAACTCAGTTTTATTGGTTTTTTTTTCTGTTGATTCCTAGTCTCTTTTTCATTGAGATCTGCTCTGATTCTTATTATTCCTTACTTCCTTTTATTAACATTGGGCTTAGTTTATTCCTTTTATTCCCCTCAAGGTGTAAAATTAGTTTGTTTATTTAATATTTGCCTTCTTTGTTACTGTGAGCATTTATTGGTATAAAGTTCCCTCTTAGATCTGCCTTTGCTGCATCCCAAAGTTTTGGTATGTTGTGCTTTTCATTTGTTTCAAGATATCTTTAGTTTTCCTTTCTTTTTATTCTTGACCCATTTGTTGTTTATGATGATGTTGTTTAGTTTTTATATATTTGCACATTTTCCAAAATTCCTTCCGTTACTGATTTGTTGATTCAAACTATTATGACTGGAAAAGATACTTAATATGATCACAGTTTTCTTAAATATATATTAAGACCTGTTTTGAAACACATTTCAAAACCAAAAAAAGCTTCTTAAATATGTTAAGACTTCTTTTGAAGCATGTTTTCTGTGTTTTGAGCAGAATTGTATTCTGCTGCTGTTGGATGAAATGTCCTATATATGCCTATTAGGTACATTTGCTCTGAAGTATAGTTCAGATCTAATGGTTACTTACCTATTTTGTATCTGAATAATCCATTCATTGATGAAAGATATAATAATAGTAATAGTAGTTGTAATAACACGATGATACAATAACAGTAATATTATATTGTAAATCTCTTCAAGTATATTAATATTTGCTTTACATTTTTAGGTGTTTCACATTGGGTACATATATGTTTATAATTGTTACGTCTTCTTGATGAGTTAATCCATTTACCGTTATAAACTGACTTTCTTTTTCTTTTTTTACAGTTTTTTTAAATTTAAAGCCTAATTTATCTGAGATATATATATATATGGTCCTTTTTGGTTTCAATTTGTGTGGAGTATCTTTTTCCATCCTTGTTCTTCCAATGTGTATGTGTTCTTAAAAGCAACATGAGTTTCTTGTAGGCAACATTTAGTTGGATCTTTGTTTATATATATACACACACACATATATAAATATATGTGAATATATATGAATATATATGTGAATATACATATTAATATATATGTGAATATATATATAAGCATTTTCTTGTTTTCTGGTTTTGTAGACCTTTTCTTTTCTTTCCTCCTCTCTGCTGTCTTCCATTGTAATTAGACAATGTTTTTCTACTGATATATGCATTTCACAGTGAGTATTTCCTGGGATCCCTTCGATAACTGAAATAGATCCCACACATTATTGTGGTAATATCTTACCTCTCTAATGAGCTCTTCTGCAAGTGTATTACTAATCTGTTGTCTTTCTTTCTCCTGCTTTGGAAATCATTTTCTGCACAGACACTCAGCAATTGTTTAGAACTTGGTCTAACAGGAGGTTAGCCTCAAAACTCATGTTAAATCTTACATTCTTCTTCCTAAGTCTATAATAAAATTGAGTATCATTTCTTAGCTTTATAGGCCATATCATTCTTATCCAGCTTGCCTACAACTAACGTTCAATGATCCTTTACATATACAGTCCCAGAATTTCAAAGTAGAAGTGGATGATGTGGATAATTTAATTAAGTCCATGTTCAGAGTGCAGATTTACTCAGAATTTTCTAGGGGGTGGAGATACAAATTATTCAATAACTTCAGGACAGGGATGCTAACAAGACAGCTTATTCCATCTTCATGCTGTGTTAGCCATTTGAAAAGTGTCTTATTTTGTTAAGTCTTCCTGTCTTTAAATTCTACCCATTGGACCTAGTTGTCTTCAGTGAAAAAACAAAGCAGAATAAACCTCATTCTCTATTACACATATGCCCTCCATACAAAACCTTTAAAAAATGCTAAGAAACCTAAATCAAGTGTAGTACAATGTCCAGAGACAAACTCTTATATATGTGATAAAATCATAGACTAACAATGGTCACCACCAATCAGTTACAAATAGTGAGCTGTTTGGTAGGTGGTGCTGGGGAACCTAGCTTAGTGAAAGATGAAACTATATGGAGTCCCCCATATGCAGAGGTGGACTCCAGGTGGATTAATGATCAAAGAGTGAAATGTAAAAATTTTAAATTGACAGATGTAGAATATCAATGACTTAAGGATAATATATATCATCTTTTAAAAAACTAAAAGTCAGAAATTATAGTTTATAATGTGGTGAAATTATGCACACTATTAACAAAAATAAACAAATGACAGTTTGTGAGATTTTTCCAGTGTCAAAAATAACAAGGGAATTTTATTAGGAACATACAGTAAATGCCTACACATCAGTAAGAAAGAGACAGGCATCTCTGTTTAGAAAATGAGCAAAGGATGTGGAAGAGAAAACATGAAGGATAATACATATGGAAAGAAATAAAGTTGTTCACACCTATTAACAATCAGAGATACATAAAGCAAGATGATATCATTGTCACTGTGCAAACAAGCGACATTAGCATGTTAGATTTAACAAATATTGTTACATATGTGAGGACATAAGAAATGCAATTTGGGGTTTAGATGGTGCAGACATCCTGGAGACTAGCCTGGAAATACTCAGTAAAATTAAATACGCACACATGATTTGTCTCAGCAGTTGAGATTTTGGGATTGACTTTCATAGAAGCCTGTAAGGGTCACGTGTTCACTGCAGCAATGTTGTGCTGAAGAAGAGCTGGGTGTGATTATGTGTGCATCACTGAAAGAGCAAAAGGCAAAATCTTGTATATTAGCCACATGAAGTACCATATGGCAATAAGAAATAATAGTCTAAATGTACACATAGTAGCATAAATGAATCATTCACTGCAATTGTGCTGAAAGAAAAGGGGTTTTAATATATGTGTGTGTGTGTATATATATGTATATATAAAATAAAATTTAAATAAGTTTAAAATATGTAGTAGAATGGCCAACTTTTGGGGGACACCAACAAGATGAAATGGGGTATTGCATATAAAATAACAAATTACAAGATGGCTATAAATGAGACATGGGTGTGAGAATGGAAATAAAAGATAAATAGAAGAGAATAAATAAATTACTCTGTTAGACAAAAACAGACAAAAAAGGGAAAGAGCTATGTGTGGACAAACAGTAACATGATATAAATAGGAGAGTGTATTAAGCTCAAACCTCTGCACTTGAGGAAAAATAATGAGTGAAGTCATAATTTGTACCCCTGCCCCAACTCAAATTGCTGTAAGTACATACGGCCATTTACCTGAGGTTTTGCTTCCTCAGTCTTTTGTCCTTTCCTCTTGATCCCCAACACCTACAAACTTTGGGCAAACATGGTTGACTGACTAGCAGAACTCCTGACCGCAACCTTTTTGTTCTTTACACACCTTTAGCTGAGAGTGGTCACAGTACACATGTGTACAAACAAGAGCAGTCGAAAGTCTTCCAGGAAGAGTGTCCCTTCCCAAATAAAAGGACAAAGTTTTAAAAGACCTGATGCTCTTCATCATTTGTCCTTAGTTGTGCAGAACGTTGGTCATATACAGCAACCACTTCAAAATCATGAGTGTGAAAGTCACTCAGCAAGGGTGGGGAGTGGGAACATAAAAGAGCCCTGATCCTTTCTCACCATCTTGAGCACTCATAGGAGACTTATCTGCTCAGTCTAAGATTTCTTGTTTTACATGTTTCAAAAGCTATTAACATTAAAGTAATATTGTTGCTTCTTAGTTACCTTGACTTACATTCAACCAAGATAATCACAGCTGGACTAGTGCATTAACCTCATGAGTAGATTCCCTGTCTCATTCTTGGTTCTATTCTAATTCTTTTTTCATGCATGTTTTAAAGTTTTGAGCTTAATATTTGTGTTCATGTTTAAATAAAAATATATAGTAAACATACAGGGAATTAAGAAATAAGTAAAACACAATTATTTGGATTCGACCAATAAAATAACATTGTCTTATTTAAAGCTGTGGTCACACAACTTTTCAGGAAGCCACAAATCCTCAAATTAAGGAGACATTAAGGAGACCAGACTTCTTAGTGAGTAAGATCTTTTATTAAGAAAATTCTATTTTGTTTCCATTTTAGCATGCTCCAATTATATAGTCCTCTTGTGTTTCAGCAAATAGTCACAAAGATTAAGAAATGGCACAAAGATTAAGAAAGAAAGGTAAGAGTTTACGTTACAAAATTAATTACACTAGAAAATTAATCAGAATAAAAATCTCTCTTCAGTGATGTGATGAAACTACTCAGTCTCCATCCACTGCAAACAGCTTCTCTTATATGCATTCAGATAGTCAGGGGACCATAGTCAATCTTTACTTAGATGTGAAGATAATGAGTAGGGGAGATTTCAATTGAACTTGATCTTGGAGAGGTCATTGCAAAGCCAAGGATGTTCTGTAGTGATGATTAGTAGCAAGAGGAATAGCATCTTCTGTAGCAAAGTGGTTGATAGTCACAGCAGCTAGAGCTGTATCCACAGCCACAGCGAGAGCCAAATCCATATCCAGAGCAGTATCTACAGCCAGAGCCATATCCACAGCCATAGCCACAACCATATCCACAGCCGGAACTCCAGCCAGAGCCATATCCACAGTCCCCACAGGAGTTTCTGTAGTAGTTGCAACACATGATTTCAGGAGGTTAGATTTCAGTTGAGGTGTAGGAGGATATTTCTGCAGTGTGAGTGTCCTCTACTCTTCTAAGACCTTTATATACTTCCAGGGATGCATGGGTCATCCTCACATGGGCTCTATTTGCTCATTTTATAATCTAATCATTTGCCTAAAATGAGCTCATTCTGTGTACATCTACTTTCTTTGGAATTCATAATTTGCTTATGACTTCCCTAGGGATATTTTTATGCCTGAAAAGAAAACAAATATACAAGTTCTAAACACACAAGCTTATACAATAATAATTTTGTTTTCCATTGTTTCATTTCATAGCCATGACATAACACATCATCAAAATATGACTTAAGCTCAACCAAGACAGTCATTGCTGAACTAGTGCATTAACCTCATGAGTAGATTCCCTGTTTCATTCTTCATTCTAATATTTTTTCATGCATGATTTGAAATTTTGAGTGTGATATTTGTGTTTATATGTAAATATAAATATAAATAATTGGCATGATTTGAAATTTTGAGTGTGATATTTGTGTTTATATGTAAACATAAATATAAATAACTGACATACAAGGAATTAAGAAATATGTTAAATATAAGTATTTGGGTTCAACCAATAAGATAACATTGTCTTATTTTAAGTTATGGTCACCCAGCTTTTGAGGAAGCCACAAACCCTCCAATTAATGCTGATCCTGACATTAAGGAGACAAGACTTCATAGTGAATAAGGCATTTTATTAAGAAAATTCTATTTTTGTTCTATTTTAGTACATTCCAATTATATAGTCTTTTTGTGCTTTTGCAAATAGTCATGGTACAAAGGTGGAAAAAAAGATGTCGGAATTCACATTTGAAAATTAATCAGAATAAAATCTCCTCTCTTCAGTGATGTCATGAAGCTACCCAGTCTCCATCCACTGCAAACAGCTTCTCTTATATTCATTCAGGTAGTCAATGGACCATAGTCAAACTTTACTTAGATGTGGAGACAGTGGATAGGGGAGATTTCAATTGGACTTGATCTTGGAAAGGTCACTGCAAAGGCAAGGATGATCTGTAGTCATGATTAGCAGCAAGAGGAATAGCATCTTCTGTAACAAAACGGTCAGCAGCCACAGCAGTCAGAGCTGTATCTACAGCCATAGCGAGAGCAAAATCCGTATCCAGAGCCATATCCACAACCATAGCCACAGCCTGTTCCATATCCAGAGCCGTATCCACAGCCATAACCACAGTCAGTTCCATATCCAGAGTCGTATTGACAGCCAGAGCCGTATCGATAGCCAGAGCCACAGCCACAACCATATCTACAGCCAAATTTCCAGCGAGAGCTGTATCTGCAGCCCCCACAGGAGATTCTGTAGTAGTTGCAACGCATGGTGTCAGGAGGTGAGATTTCAGTGGAGCTGCAAGAGTGTCCTTTACTCTTCCAAGACCTTCATATACTTCCAGTGATGCATGGGTCATCCTCATATGGGCTCTATTTGCTCATTTTACAATTAATGGCCTAAATTGAGCTCATTCTGTATACATCTGCTTTCTTAGGAATTCATAATTTGTTTACAGCTTCCCTAGGAATATTTTCATGCCTGAAAAGAAAACAAACATACAAGTTCCAAACATGCAAGCTTATACAACAATAATTTTATTTGCCATAATTTCACTTCATGCTCGTGACAAAACACGTCACCAAAATATATTTGACCTATAAATGTATGTTTATCATTCTATTCTTGTAAGGTCTAGGGAATCATCTATTAAATAAGGAGTTCTACTCACTGTTCTTAATATCATCATTTCTTCTTATCCGTTCCTAACACTTTTGGTTTTTTATCACAATCACTTCAAATTACTTTTCAGGGATTTTGGACAGGGAATTGAGTATATCCACGTGGTACCTCCACTCTCTGAAACTCTCTACTTACCTCAGAAAAAAAAAGCTTTTCCATCCCCTTCTTTTCCATGCAGGTTATGATCTTCTCTTCCTTCTTTGAGGAAAAAATGTTTTTAAACTTGTGATAGGTCAGTTATGTAAGGAGATGTATCATTTATTATTTAAAAAACAAACTTTGCCAAGAATGCTAATTTAGAAAGAGGGTAAATCCTTGGTTCATAGCTTCTTTGTTGTTGAAATCCAACTGTAGGGTGCAATTCTTAAACACAGGTCATTTTTGAATTTACTCAGAGTACGCTCATGTTTGTGTTACATATCAGTGCTTCCCACTAAAATGTAATCAATCAATAATTCATTACTCCATCAAGTCGAATGGATGGGGAATGGCGAGATGTTGATCAAAGGGTACAAAATTTTAGTTAGTAGAAATCAGATTTAGCAATCCCTTGCACAGAATGCTGACTATAATAATTAATAATGCATCATGTATTTTTAAATTACTGAAACAGTGTATTTTAAATGTTTTCACCACAAAAATGTATAAATATGTGAGAAATTTGACTTGTTAATTGACTTGATTTAATCATTTCACAGTATTTTCTTGATTTTAGTCACATTTATGTTCTTCAAAACAAAATTTTAATGATTTTTACATGTAAGAAACTTTTTTGATATTTACATTATGACATTAATAATAGTTGACCTTTCTGTAAATTCCTTGTTCATTCTTTCTTTAACTTCATATCTTCTCCTGTTGTTTCTGTGATAAATGAATTCATACTTCACGACTTTTCTTCATTGAGAACACTCTTATTCCTAAATTCTGGGGTTCTTGTGGTTGCTTCACCCTCCATCTTTGCTTCTTGTTTTACACACTAGAAAATCTTCAGATCTTCTCTGCTACTCCGATTCCAATATTATGTGTATGAAATAACTCCTAAAACTAAAATTGTCTGTATCAGTCTGGGCCCAGTCAGGAGACAGAAATACACAGCAAGTTTAACAGGAAAAGTTTCACATAAAAATCATAAACTATAATAATAGAGTATTTTTAAGATATGATGAATCTATATGCTACTCCAAGACTGTGGGACAATACTGAAGGAAAAATAAACTTAGAAAAGGTACTCTACCTTCTGGCTTAATGTATTGAAAAGTTGTTGTGCTATAGTTAACTACTGTATTGCATACTTTGAAAAACTTATTAACGGAGTAGATATCCTGTTAAGTATTCCTACCAAAGAGAGCAGAGGAGGTATCTTTTGTAGATGATGAATATGTCTATTACCTTCACTGTTGAGATGGTTTCATGAGCATATGCATGTGTCCAAATTCATGAAATTATATACATTACACATATAGACTTTTATATCAATTATATCTCAGTAACATGAGGATGTTGAGCTTTAGCCTGGCAAGAACCTTTATTTGGCCCTGTCGTTTGAAAAGTAGCACCATAAAGATCGTTCACCCAGAGTCCCCATGGGGCTCCTACCCAAACAGACACCCAGATTCCCTCTACAGGATGTCCCTACCCACTCTCCAGAGTCTGTCTGAGGCCCACGGCTTCCCAGGCCCCTACATCCCCACATCTCCAGATGTGCATTGCTTGTTCACCAACTCTGCTTCAGAGGGTCACCTTCTGTCTCCCTGGTGACTACAGAACAAGTTTGATTATTTAGTCATTTAATGTTATCCAAAAGTTGCATTAGTGACAACATTCAAACTTTTTGTACCTATCTTGAAATATGCAATACATTGTCATTTGCTATAGTCACTCTATTTTGTAATGGAACACCAAAATTTATTCTAACTATAATTTTGTACTCACAGTCAAAATAATTTTGAAAAGAAATCAAAGTTGAAAGCCTCACACTACCTAACGCTGAGTTACTACAGTCCTGCAAAAAACAAAACTATGTGATATTGATGAAAGAATGGGCAATAAATAAGTAGTGATTGAAGGAATAAATAAATCTAAGGCTCCACTAATAAACCACTTGCCCGAAATTCCAGGGAAGATGTAAACACTAAAGTCAGTGATGATTGTAGTGCAAAAAAACACAAATTTTTACAAAAATCACTGAAATTTGTTTATGAAAAAAGCGTAATTTCCTCCAACTAAGAAGTGTTTATGGATCAGCCATGCAAAATCTAATAATTTACATTTTGAATATAATTAGAATAAAATCTTCTGTCTCCAGGTAACATAATGGGAGCATTAATATCTTCTCAAAAATGAACAGATTTGTTGAAGTAAAAACAGATAATATCCAATCCTTACATGAATGTAGAGATGTTAAAATGGGATATCCCTTGGGAAGAAGTATTAATCTTAAAATATTATTTCAAAGGCTGATTCTAGGATGATGCTCTAGTAGCAACAGGAGTAGCATCTTCAGTAGCAAAATGGTTGGTAGATACAGCAGCCACCGTCAGAACCAGATCCACATCCATATCTGGAACCATATGCGCAGCCCCCATGGGCGTTCCCACAGTAGTTGAAACTCATGGTGCCAGAAGGTGAGATTTAGTCGAGGTACAGATGGATTTTTCTGAAGTTTCGATGTAACATATGACCCTAGAACCTTTACATCCTGACAGGAGGAGCCAGGGCACATCATCAATTTCATGATTCGTGCAAAATAGGTTTAATACCTAGTATGTGCAAATCACCCCACTCAGTTGAAAATGAGAGGACCTGGTCTTTTCATAGCTATAGTATATGCCTTAAATAAACATATTATTATAGGTTTTCCAGTTTTATTGAGGATCCATTTTTTTGGTCATGCAGGCATTGTCTTGAGCCAATTACAAATCTCTAAGAACAGTTTCTATCCATTAGCCAGTCATCTGAACACATGATTCCAAAGATACATTTTACACAGGAAGGCTCTAGGGAGGGTTAGGCAGTTGATGTTTGAAAATGCAATCAATAAAATGAGTTTGACCCATTACTTTGACTAGCTTGCTAATTACTAATTCCTTTGTAGGTGATTTCATTGGAACCCAATGCTGCTGTATACAGAAACTCCTCAATATTTCATGTTACAGAGTTTCTATGAATTCAAATAGCCATGGATATAATATCCTGATAATATGTATTTACTTCTGGAGAAATTCCTTAACAAATATTAATCACCTCTAGATATTTATTTAGTTCAAACTAGAACAACAACAAATGAGTATCCTGTATGATAACAGCTGTTGAATGTTTTATGAATTTTAAATTCCTTTTAATCTTTTTATTTTAATTAAAATTAAAACATGAAAGAGGTAGGTAGCATACTATAGATACTGAGGTGGAAAAAAGTTTAGGAAACTTACTAAAGGCACATATGAAGCACAAGTATGTATTCTTCTTTGCTGTGCTACATACAATCAGTACGTTGTTATTTGCTATTGTCACTCTATTGTGTAATAGAGCACCAAAATTTATTTTGAAACAAATACGTACAGAGATATATCAATCTCTGTATATTTGTGGATTGAACTCAATATTGTTAAGATGTTCATTCTCCCAGAATGGATCTATGGATTCAACTCTAACCCCATCAAAATCTAAGCATGATATATATGTAGATATTAACAAACTGACTTGAATGTTTAGATGGAAAGTCAAAATAACTAGAAGAGCCAACATATTTTATTTAATTTGGAATTTGTAATTGACACATAATGTACACATTTATGGTGTAAAATGTGATGTTTCAATGCACATATATATAATATAATGACCTCCCTTCCTCATCATCGGGTGCTTAAATACTTACTGTAACAGGGATGTCATTATTTCGTGTGGTTATCCATTTCACTGTGTAATTACTCTGTTACAAAATTCCCCATATGCTTTAGGGTCTCTCATTTTTTTCATTGTCAATTGGGGTCCTAGATAAAATTTATTTAAATGTTTTGTACCCAGGGCACTCCCACCAAATATGGCTGCTAGTGCCTCTCACCTTTTCATTTTCACTCGAGAATAGTGTGTCCTTGAAGTTCATTGGAATGGCTGGCTTCCTAATCTCTGCTGATGTGCAGGTATGTTATCCTGGTTATCCAAGACAACCACACCTCTTACCAGGTAATTTAGAGAACAGAAGAAGAAGTGTGTGGTAATCATTTTCCATTACGCATAACAAATTATCACCAAAATAGCAGCTTAAAACAATATCCACTATTATCTCAGTTTCTGTAGATCAGAAGTCTAAGCACAACCTAGCTAGGATCTTGCCTCAAGGTCTCACATCATTGTAATTAAGGTGTCAGCCAGGACATCTGCAAAATCTCTTTGCCATGTAACTTGAATTGCCAGATTTCGTAAGTATGCCCCAAATATTGCATAAAACATACTTATACTAAAAAGACATATATTTTTAATCTGAAATTTACATTGATTTATTTTGTGTTTTATCTGCTAACCCTAAACATAATGTAATCACAGAAGAGATATCCCATCATCTTTAGTAAGATTAGAGACAAGTGATAGGTCCTTCCCACACTCAATGAGAGTAAACCACACAAGCGTACGGTTATTGGGGGCCATCTGAGAATAGCAACAATTCACACCTGCGATTTTTTTTCTTTTTGGCTCAACTGTGATTACATTTCTCCCAGGAGAGATAATGGCTGTAGCAATAACATTCCAATATGTGAACTTTTTAATTTATATAAAATTAAAGGGTACAAGTGCAATTTTGTTTCACAGATATATTGCATAGTAGTAAAGTCTGGGTTTTTATTGTATTCATCACTCAAATAATGTACATTTTACCCACTATTTATTTTTTTCTTCCCTGCCTAGAAGGATATTTCTTTCTTCTATGATTGATCAACTTCTATTCATCCTTCATAGTTCAGCTAGAAATTTGTCTCTTTTTCAGAAAGCTTCCTCATCCTTCTTTCTACTTTTTCTTAGTCCTGGCCCTTCTTCTGATTTATTCCCCTGTACTTCTCAAATACTTCTGTGTGTAACTGTTTTATAGCAATACTCCAATCTTTGTAGCCTGTGGTCTTGTATGCCTTTCCTATGTTTTTGGAAAGCAAGGATGAAATATTTTACTTCACTGTTCATAGTACATAATGAAATGTGTTTTATTAGGAGCTCAATAAATATTTGATAAATGAGACTTCACGGTTATCTAATTTAGAAGTGATTCTACACCTTCAACAAAACAATCTCTTCATCCATGCCCCTTTGCCCTACCTCTTCTCAAGACTTCAATTTTTTTTCAAGAATCAAGGGTGTCTGGGAACAGAATTTATTTGACCATGGGTGGCTGAATCTTGACTTCAGTTCTGACTGTCTTTTTATATCCAAAATGAGTATTAGATTTCTGCAGCCAGACATATTACAATTGGCCCCTCCTTCCAGATATAGAAACATAAAAGTTCTCATTCTGTACCTTTTTTTTAATACAGCATCACCATTTTCACAATCAAGTTTCAAAGCACAAATCACTTTCTTTAGTATCCTAGATTAGGATGGAAGTAAAAATGGATACATAAGATCAATTAATTCCATACCTCTTTCTGACTTTGTAACTTCCTCCTAGAATAACTCTTAACAGTGAGAGAGAGAGCCAACCGAGGTTTAAATACGTCCAATAACAGAGCGCCTAATGAGGAAGTAATTCTTGTTTCAGATGCTGTCACATATTAAAAAGAGATCTTGTGTTGAGGAATTTTTGTCATTGTTACACATTCAGTCTAATTAGTTTCTCAACAACAACACAGGGCACATCTGCAAAACTAGTCTTACTAATTTTGCAATACCAGTCCTGAAGATATATAACTATATATACGATCCCAAATTCCCCACAATTCTAAGTGCTAAGGAAAAAATATATACTTTTTAGATATTTTCTTCCCTAGATGTTTCTCCTTTTTCTTTCTCTATTGAAGTCTAAGATTTTACAGGTTCTACCTTCACCAAGTCTCTGATGTTCATCTGTTCTTTTTCATTATCTACACTGAAGTGTAGATCTCTTTAACTAGTATCCAAATCGTTATTATACTTACATTTTAACCTTTCTGTCTCTTCCACTCCAACCCATTTTTGTGCCATTAGCATTTTCCTAAAGCAGGCTTTTCTGTGGCATTCTGTGTGTGTGTGTGTGTGCGCGTGTGTGCGTGCACGCACATATATTGATGAGTGCGTTATTGCTCGTTAATGTGGAAAAAATGGATAGACCCAGAGTCATGAAACACAAATACTTAAGAACAAACCCTTAATGAAAATGAATGAAGAACAGAAGACTCAGCCAATAAGCAGCCATTTTTTCAGGGACTATAAAATACGTGACATCTAGTACGTCACAGGCATGGACCAAGCAGAATGGAAAGCACAATTAGAAAAAGCAGCTTAGCATTAGCCCACCCAATCTTTGAAGACATCATACAAATATAAGACAAAAGTGTAAGTCAATAGCATGCCTGAAACAAAAAAAAAAAAAAAATAGAAAAACTTGTTAGGACCAATGAAACATGTTTATTTGGAAATAGTTACAATATAGAAACATAAAATAAGAAGGTAGTAGGTTTACATTTGGACCATGGCCAGAGTTAGGTCTTCTGTCTTCCAGAAACATCATGGGGTAACTCAGGCCCCCACAATAGTAAGCAGGATTTCATAAGATGATCTATTTTCTGCAGGTTCTGACTGCTCTCTATTCCGTAGAATCTTGATGGAATTGTAGGACATTGAAACGGAAATGGCCTTGAAATGGTCCTTTTGGAAGAAAAGGTCCACAGCAGTTATTTTCTAGCAGCAAGAATAACATCTTCTATAGCAAAATGGCCGGTAGCCACAGCAACTAGAGCTAGAGCCGTAGCCAGAGCCGTATCCACAACCATAGTTGGAGCCATATCCACAGCCATAGCCAGAGCCATAACCACAGCCGTAGCCAGAGCCATAACCACAGCCATAGCCAGAGCCATAGCCACAGCCGTAGCCAGAACCATAGCCACAGCCGTAGCCAGAGCCATAGCCATAGCCATAGCCAGAGCCATAGCCACAGCTACCACATGAGTTTCTGTAGTAGTTGCAACACATGGTGTCTAGAGATGGGTGTTTAGTAGTTCAGTAGAGAAGCAGGTGGGCGATTCTGAAGTCTGAATGTCATCTTCTGCCCTGAGACCTTTATATACAACCAGAAGTGGGTGGAGCACACAACACAGACTCTGTGGCCTCATTACAACAGCAATTTACATTTTTTAAAAGTTCATCATTCTAAGGACAATGAGTGTTTCAGGTAATTATGACCAGGATTTGCCCCTAGCCAGCCATGAGAATTGTAAAGAAACAGCTGTAACCCACACATGGAACAAGCATGCCTTGTGGAGTGTAATCAAACCTAATTTAGATTTTTTTACTCCAGGGGCCATTATCTCTTCTGTACTTCCAGGTACACACATACCTGTGCACCGGGAGATGTCCCAGCATTTTCTATCTCAGTAATCAACAAGAAATTCCCAGACTAGAGGTGAGAAGCAAACAGCAAAGGCACAAAATGAGACATTCTTAGGTTACACTTGCAAGAAAGTAGATGGAGCCCATGCAGGATGGCCACTGAAGTGGTGGCTAGAGCAAGAGACAGGTGAGGCAAAGATCTGAAGTGATGTAAAACAGAGGTCTGATACAATATAGTAAAATAAAAGCAACAGGATTTTGCCCAATGCACCATAATCTACCCTAAGATTTCTTGGAACTTTTCAATGTGTTACTTTCTTTGAAACATCTTGCCCACTTCATCAAATTTTTTTTAACTTTTATTTTAGGTTCAGGGGTACATGTGCAGGTTTGTTATATATGTAAACTCATGTCTCAGGAGTTTGTTGTACAGATTATTTCATCACCTAGGTACTAAGCCTAGTATTCAACAGTTAATTTTCTCATTCTCTCCCTCCTCCCACCCTCCCCCTTCAAGTAGGCCCCTGTGTGTTGTTCCCCTCTTTGTGCCCATGTGTTCTCATCATTTAGCTCCCACTTATAAGTGAGAACTTCCAGTATTTGGTTTTCTGTTCCTGCATTAGTTTACTGCTAAGGATGATAGCCTCAGCTCCATCCATGTTTCTGCAAAGGACATGATTTTGTTCTTTTTTATGACTGCATAGTATTCCATGGTGTATATATACCATGTTTTCTTTGTCCAGCCTACCATTGGTGGAAATTTAAGTTGATTCCGTGTCTTTGCTACTGACTTCCAATTTTTACCTGCCAAAATCCTGATGATCCTTCAAAGCACAGCTTAGGCTATATCTCCTATGAAAGCATTCCTGGACATTCACAGTAAGTGTTAAGCATCACTCCACCATTCTTCTAGGGATCTATTTGCTCAATTCTATTATGGTCCTCAATATGTTATACTGGCATACTCTTACTTTATTTATCTGATTCCCTCAGATGATTCTGAGTTATTTATGGTCAATAACTTTGTCTTTATTTTCTGTGAATCTAACAAACTAGGGGCACTCACTAACTTAAATGAAAGCCTATGAGATTTCTTCCAGCTGTAAATGTTTTTATTTTAATTTAGAGGATGTTATATCAGAAAGATAACAATAATAAGTATTATTATTTATATTTCCCTTTATAGTTTTCTCTACATCCTCACCAATGTCTGTTATTTTTTGTCATTTCAATAACAGCCATTCTGAGTGGTATAAGATGATATCTCTGTGGTTTTAATTTGCATTTCTGTGATGGTTAGCAATGTTGAGTATGTCTATTTGCTGATGATATGATCTTAAATAAAGAAAAACCTAACAACTTTACCAAAAAATGTTACCGAATTCATTTATCAAAACTTATTGTATACACAACATTATATGTATAGTATTGTATATGTGTAAAAAATATATATACAAGAATATAGTAACCAAAACAGTATGGTAGTGGTATAAATATAGATATACAGTTCATTGAAAAAGAAGAGAGAACCTAGAAATAAAGCCATATATTTATAGCCAGCTGTTCTTTGACTAAGTCAACAAGAAAATACATTGGGGAAAGGACACTCTCTTCAATAAACGATGCTGGGAAAATTGGATTGCTATATGCAGATGAATGAAATTGGACCCCATCTCTCACTATACACAAAAACCAACTCGAGATGTAATAAAGACTGCAATGTAAGACCTGAAACAATAAAAATACTGCAAGAAAACCTAGGGGAAACTCTTCTGAACATTGGTCAAGGCAAATAATCCATGACTAATATTTCAAAAGTATGCAACAAAAACAAAAATAGATGAATGGGACTTAATTAAACTAAAAAGCTTCTGCACAGCAAAAGAAATAATTAACAAAGTGAACAGACAACCTGAAGAATGGGAGAAAATATTTGCAAACTATGCATCTGACAGGGGCTAATATTCAGAATGTACAAGAAACTCAAACACTTTAACAACAACCACCAAAAAAAAAAACACAAATAATTTCATGAAAAAAGTGGACAAAGAACATGAATAGACATTTTCCAAAGTAGACATCCTGTTATAATTTTTGAGTCACATTTACATTTATTACTTTGTTTGATTCTTATGAAAACAATGTAAAGTAAGAAGTTGTGTTTTTGTTATTTTCCTGCTTTATTGAGGCATAATGGACAAAGACAATCATATGAGCTTAAGTTATACAACATGATGATTTGATATACATATTTACTGAGAAACGATTGATACAATCAAGTAAGTTAACACAATAATCACATAAATAGCATTTTTGTTTTGTTTTGTGGTGAGAACAATTACGATCTACCCTTTCAGCAAATTTCAAGTATACAATGTGGTATTGCTAACTATAGTTAGTTACCATGAGGTAAACTGTATCTCCAGAACTTATTCTTCTTGTAACTGAAGATTTGCACTCTTAAACTAACATCTTCCCATTTCTTCCACCTCCCTGACCCCTTGGCAACCACTATTCCACTCTGTTTTTGAGTTCTACTTTTTTAGATTCCACATATCAGTAAGATTACTCAGCATTTGTCTTTCTCTGGCTGACTTGTCACTTGGTATAATGTCTTCCATGTTTATCTATGCTGTTGCAAACGGCAGGATTTCTTTCTTTTTTATAATATTCCATTACAAATATACACCACAATTTATTTTTTCCTTCACCCGTTAGTGAACAGTTAGGTTGTTTCCGTGTCTTGGCTATTGTAAATAGCGCTGCAACAAACAAGGGAATGCATATATCTCTTTGAGCTACTGATTTTGTATCCTTCACATATAAACCCAGAAGTAGGGCTAAATCATGTGGTAGGTCTAATTTTCATTTTTCGAGGAACCTCCATATTGTTTTCCATAATGGCCATATGAATTGATATTCCCATCAAAAACAGTGCACAAATGTTTTTTATGGCACTTCCTCGCTGACGTTTGTTATCTCTTATCTTTTTTATAATACCCATCACACCAGGTATGAGGTGATAGCTCACTGTGATTTTGATTTGCATTTCTCTGATGATTATTGATGTAAAGCAACTTCCATGTACCTCTGGTTTTTGTTTTTACACACATCACAGATGTGAAAACAGAAGCCACAGGTAGTTGTCACTTGCCCAAGGACTCTCAGCTGTTTAGTGGTAGAATCAAATCGATTTAACCCCTGCAAGAATATTAAAGCTCAGGAAGGACCCATAAATTATTTTTTCCTTTAGGTTTTCAAATGGAAAATATGCACTTCATTTGACTAAAATTGCCAATATTTTGCAACCTTTGTCCTACACCTCTACCGTCTGGATTTTCTTTCTTTGTGATCTTTACAATCCTAGCCAAAATTCCTAAAACTCTATACCAGCTTCTAGTACTTTCATAATTTAACTTTCATGTGCAGAACTTTAATTAGTGTGGAATTTCTTATGCAACATAGTGTGAGGTAGGTATTTATACCTTTGTATCTAAACAGGTGGGACATTGATCAATCCCATTGCTGTGGTTTCACTGTTTGCCCCCTTCAAAACTCATGTTGCAACTTAATTGCCATTGGGAAGGTATTGGGAGGTAAGACCATTATGAGGTGTTTAGATCTTGAAGGCTCCACCCTCATAAATGGACTAAAACCATTATCACAAGAGCAAGTCTGTTATTGCGGGAATGGGTTCACCCCGTCTCGCTCTCTCTCTTGCCATCTCTTGGTCTTTCACCATGTGATGCCTTCTGCCATGTTTTGATGCAGCAGGAAGACCCTCACCACTTTGATACTGGATTTTCCAGCCACCAGAACTATGAGCTAATAAGTTTCTGTTTATTATAAATTACCCAGTTTCGGGTATTCTGTTGTAGCAGCACAAAACAAACTAAGGCACAGATTTACTGAATAAACTATCCCAGATGGAAAATTTGTGTATACAGGGACTTTGCTCCTCCCCTGAAGTCTGCAGCACTGGCAACACTGGTCCTATTGCCTCAGGCTGACCTACTGCTTATACCTGGATAACATGGTTAGACTTCCTAATCTTTGCTAGTGGCCTAACATGACTTCTCTTTCTAGCCAGTGTCCTTACCTGGCCAGTTTGTTATGATTGGCCCTCTAAGACAACACTCTACAATAGAAATATACCATGAAACACATTGAAAAATTTAGATTTTCCAATGTCCACATTTTAAAAAGATAAAAAGAAACAGGTGAATTAATTTTACACCATATTGTATTCACCCTGTTTCAAAATATTATCATTTAATATATAATAAATAATTTAAATGTATTTGATACTTTCATTCTTTTTTTCTATTAAGTCTTTGATATCTACTGTGTATTTTACACTTACAGTGCATTTCATTTTGAACTATATATTTTGAGCGCTCAACAGCTGGCTAGTAGCACCATATGAGACAGTGCAGCTCACTCAAGAGACGTGATAATTCTTTTATGGAAGTGGATACTGATTAAAATTTCACAGTGGAGCCTCCTAGTCTTTCAATAAACTGACAGCTTATTTTCTTCTTTCCTTGAATTTCTTGGCCTTGAATTCCATTTTCCGTCTCTTGTAACTGACCAAATCTACCTCATCTTTTATGGCTCTCTTCCTATCATTCTTTGGAAGCAATTTCTGACCGTTGTCGAGCCTTCTCTTTCTACATTCGGATTTAAGTTTCCCCCTTGAGCTCTTCTTGGTAATGCCATCATACCTGCAAGCATATCTGCTATGTATGATTTAGTATATTGTGTCCCGCTGAAGATTTTTAATTCTTAGAAGGGACTATGTGTTTTATCTCTCTGTCTCCACACCAATCACATTACATAGCTGAAACATGAATCTTAATGTTTGTTAAATAACTTAAAGAACAACTTTTGCAATTTAGATTTTACAATTTACAGCCTCTACAATATGTAATAACATATTCCAAAAAAAGGACTTTTGTGTTTCTTTATAAAGGAGCTTTGAAGCTTAAATTATTTTCCAACCACAGAAAGTATTGTGAAATATAAATAGTTTTTCCTTCCCTCCATAATGTGATTACACATGTGAATTCACATATCCATTTTTCCCAACCTCCACCAAACAGGCCACACTTACACGAGTGTGTACACACACACACACACACACACACACGAATCTTCTCTAATTTTATCATCTCTGTCTCTGTTACCATTATCACCATTTTCTCATTTCACACAAGCTGAATGTCTCAAAATTTTCTTAAACTGAGATAGCCACAATATTTCAGGTTTTGAAGATATGTTAAGTGTTATCCACTGCTTGCAATACTATAATAACCTCAGAGTTCCAGAAAGCACAGTTTGTCTGCAGATCTGACTCACAAATACTCCAGATGTGAAAGGTATCCTGCTCTTGGAAGAAACCCCAATTGTCCATCAGTTGGACAGATTCCATCCTGGACATAGCCTTCCTCCTGGGCTGATATTGATTGTAGGGCTATCTCTCAGAGCCAGACATTTTGTGGGGTAACCCAGCTCCAGGGACCTCAGAGAGCCAGACTTGGTGTAATGGTCCCTGTTGTGTGGATGAAACAGGGACACTGTTATTACTGCTGATTATAAGAAGTTTCTACTGAATCCAGAAGACTCTCTGTTGTAAGATTTAAATGACAGAGTTTGGATGGTCTGGAACTGGAGGAAAGGACACTAAAATCAGAATCCAAGAAGCAGTAAACACTCCACATCAGAAAGTCAGCCAGGTAACTAGAACAAACCCTTTAATCTCATTTTTATGACCACCCCAATCTAAAAAGAACTCTATTAAGATACTAGACCTTGCTCTTTTCTAACTGAAAACTGTGTCATCACCTTCATCACATCCAAAACTTAATGAACTGCACTCTCCCTTGGTACTTACTGCGGTCCTTTTTAGTCTTTCTTTGCTGCTGAAATTGTTGTATTATGAGCTCAAATGTCACAATCTCAAAATATTTCCCTGAGCTGTCTCTCCAGTACTTCAAACATTAATCTCCTCTCCATTAAGCTGCTTTATTCTCTCTATAGCAATTATCTGTCTGAATTTATCATAATTCATTTTTGCTTTTTTTATTACCTCTTTTTTTTTTTCTCGGAGTTTTGCTCTCGTTGCCTAGGCTGCAGTACAATGATGCGATCTTAGCTCACTGCAACTTCTGTCTCCCATGTTCAAGCGATTCTCGTGCCTCAGCCTCCCGAGTAGCTGGGATTACAGGCACCCATCACCATGCCTGGCTAATTTTTGTGTTCTTAGTGGAGACAGGGTTTCGCCATCTTGGCCAGGCTGGTCTCGAACTCCTGCCCTCAAGTGATCCGCCCACCTCAGCCTACCCAGGTGCAGGGATTAACAGGCGTGAGCCACTGCACCCAGCCTATTTTTGCTTTTTAAAATCTTCATCTGTTAGACTATAAACACTCTGAGAGCAGGACATTTGCTTATAATAATTTTTCTTCTGTGTCTTCCGTGTCTAGGATGGTGTCTATGCAAAACTATTTGTTAAGTGAATTAAATCACATTTCTCAACCTCCTTATAAGCAAACAAATATATTTGTGCTTTTGTCAGATGTAGATAAATTTGATAGTATACTTTTTCTTCTAACTTACCCTTTTTCAGGTTTTTATTCCTCATGCCTAACACTTGAGCCTGACTCAAAATTTTCAACAATCCTGGAAGTGATCTCTTCTATTGCATTACTTTTTTTTTACTTTTTTTTTTTTTTTTTTTTTTTTTTTTTTTTTTTTTTTTTTTTTTTTGAGATGGAGTCTCACTGTATCACCCAAACTGGAGTGCAGTGGCGCAATCTCGGCTCACTGCAACCTCTGCCTCCTGAGGGTTCAAGGAATTCTCCCATCTCCACCTCCTGAGTAGCTGGTATTACAGGCATGCGCCACCAAGCCCAGCTAATATTTGTATTTTTAGTGGTGACAGGGTTTCACAATGTTGACCAGGCTGGTCTCGAACTCCTGACCTCAGGTGATCCACTCACCTCGGCCTCCCAAAGTGCTGAGATTACATTACTTCTTTAAGCACTCAGGCTATATCTCCTCCCTGAGACTCTTGTCATAACATCCTGAATAGGTGTCACTTTCCCTCCCTTTCCCCCTCCAGCTCCATTCTAGACACTCAGTGCCATTTCCAAAGCACAGTTCTGAAATAATCTGTGATTTGTGCTTGGGCATGTGAGAACCTGAGCATGTGGGATATGAGAAGCAGGTAGAGAAAACATTATTTATGATGCAAGTATAAGAGGAAATAATTGCAGTGTATCAAGGAAATACCTAAGGTTCAGCCAACATACTGTTAGCCCAATTTTCAAGAGATACCAAAACACCCCAAGAAAGGAGTAATTCACAAGCAAGTACACAAAGATTTTTAGAAATAAAGAACCATTTTTATTGCAAAAGATTGACTTCCCCAACTGTGGATGTTATGATCATTAATGCAGTCACAACAGAGAATCAGAGATTAAGGGAGAAAAAGATAACATTTGGAAAACAGTCAGATGACACCATGGATCCTATGGCCGTGATTTCATTCAAAGAAATGTGAGGCTAGAAGCCCAAAACTCTGTCAAGCATATAATTCTTGGATATAGAAATCTTGGAGTATGAATCCTTGAATCAGCATTATCTTTAGACGTGTCATTTTAGAAGCAAATGGTCATCTGCCGGTGATGTTTTAGCAGGAAGAATAGCATCTTCTAAAGCAAAATGGCTGGTAGCCACAGTAGCCAGAGCCAGAGCTGTATCCACAGCCATAGCCAGTTCCATAACCACAGCCATAACGGGAGCCAAACCGACAGCCATACCCACAGCCATAGCCAGTTCCATAGCCACAGTCATAGCCGGAGCCATAGCCGCAGCCATAACCAGAGCCATAGCCACAGCCATAGCCGGAGCCATAGCCACAGGAGTTGCCATAGTAGTTGCAACACATGTTGTCAAGAGGAGAGAATTGAGATGGGTTTCAAGAAGATGCTTCTGAAGTGTGGATGTCTTCTGCTTCTCTGAGACCTTTATACACTGTCAGTAATTGCCAAAGCATACCATTCACTCCCTGACTTAGCCAACAAATATTTGAACAGCTATTATGTGCCAGTCACTGTTGACCATCAATTTATATTTCACATAAGTTATAAGCATAATATTTTGCTTAAAATGAGCCAATTATTTTGGAGACTCTACTTTCATTTCAGGAGCATCGTTTTAATCTGCTCTGCCAAAGAACTGTCTCAATGAAATCATGTGCCCAAATATAAAGCTAATACTGATTTTCAAAATCTCCTATCAGTAAACACATATCTTACATAACAAGTTTTAGGGGATCATAACAAAATTTTATCCATTTTTTCTCTCTCTCTTTTTTCCTAAAATGTCTACCTCTACCCATAGGGAAGGAGACAGTTCTATTCTCTTTCCTGAATCATTACAACTTCTTGCCAGGCTTCTTTCCCCAACTCACTCTGCACTTCCACATCTACTCCTTGTCCGACCTCCCTCAAATCCCAAGAAACATATTCACATCTGATCATTCAAAGCCAGACAGTATGCTACCTGCAGGTGCTTTTTATATTTTCCTTCCATACACCAGGCAAACCAAGACCTTCGGGAGGCAGAGAAGCCCTCCTTTTTTCTCCCATTTCTTAAGCTATGTAAGTAACTGTCATCAAGGAGCCTTTTAAACCCTAACCAGCTTCATTTGGATAAGAAATAAAAAAAAAATCGTTCAACCAGAAACTCCAGTTCTTTCCTCCAATACAGATTTCATCAAAGTTTTGCATGATGAAATACGGGTACATTCCTAGAATTTAATAAACCATTTTTTTCTCTTTTCACTACTATTCCTTGAACATTTACTTCAGAAGCTAAAGGAGAGTGGACAATTTTAGGTTGCTGACAGCAAAAACCCACCTTTAACAACTAACACTTCTATGATATAAAGTAGCACAAAAATAAATTGTGTCCCCTTTCCATACATGCATTTCATGCTACTCATTCAAAATTCTCAATTACCCACTTATTACGAGTTCTCAATCTTCCACAAAAATGTTCATTGTGATTTTGAAATACAAGGTGCCCTCTTTCTTCCCAATAATCCTCTCTATCACACTTACCTTTTCAAGATATGAAAGAGGAAAATGAGTATCATTTTTTTTCTGCCATTAGTATTTTTCTTGTCACCATCAATTATCAACCAAAAACCTTCTGTTTATACATCAAAACTCAGATCTGGAATCACTTTCTTCAGGATGCCTCTCCTCATTGCTACTGCGGATTACATTTTCCCTTCAGTTGGCAATCTTTCCCTTTTTTACTGCCGTCAGTCACTCGTCTCATCTGATCACTCTGCTATGTTTCGTCCCGAAGAAAAGCGAAAAGAAAATAGATCTCTGTCTCAATTTTTTCTTTTCCTTCAGTTTCTTTCTGTTTTTTTCATCCTGGAAATTCAAAACTATAAATTCTACTTCACAAGTAGATTTTCTTGTTTGCTCCTATATGCAGACCAACACATACGCAATTCTTTAAAATTCCATGAATCTTTCCACATAGCAAACTCTTCCCTACCTTCTCCCTAGACAAGTATGGAATGGTGATATTTACTTGCACAAATTTAATTGGATATTTCACTACATAGTCACTAAACCAATCAATTCAATTTATCCATCATGGATTGAGAGCACGCCATACGTAAGGCACAATCAGAGCCAATCATACTGGTTTGCAATCCGTGCAGTTTATAAGGCCCAGTGCTCAGACAAGGTTCCTGTGCTTGGAGTTTAATGCTCTATAGCCCCCAGCTTTAATACTTTGTTGAAACTTTATCTTGTTTACTAATAAAAGCGTGACATTCTTGAGGAAAGAGACTATACCTTTCACATAGAAATTCCTGGCAAACCTGAGATCCAATCCACATTTTACATAAGAGGAACTTAAAAGTCAATAAGAGTCAAAGACTAGATCCAAATTGAAGCCACTGTAGCTTCAATTTGGGTCTACTCTAGGTATGACGGTAGCAAACGATATTGATGCCACAAAGAATATTTTTTCTACTGAGGCTGAAAACATGGTCAGAATTCAGGAACTGGTGTTCAGCCATAAAATTTCTATGACATTTCAAAATTGTCTAATGTGTACAGCATCTTTATTTTCTCTAATATTTTAAAAAATTTTGTCTTTATAGTCCTAGCAGGACCATGGTGATTCTGCAAGAGGATACCTGTAATTAGTGCTCGGACCTGTTACTTATGTATCTGTTATATAGGTTTGTGTGTGTGTCTGTGTGTATGTGTATTCGTGTATAAAACTATATATATGTTACCATCCATTACCTCAACTGCAAATTTACACTAGCAAGCAACTTATCTCTCCACTTGCAGGATACAGAATATCCATCTGGTATACTAAAAGTACTTAGAAAAGCAAAGGATTCAAGGGAAAAAATATTTTTCAATAAACTTCAACTTTTCATTCCTATCAGTAAAGGAATGAAACATTTATCCATCCATAATACAGATTAAGACTAGAATTCCATGTTATTTATCACTTCAGACATTTATAATGACTGATGGTCCTTGTAATAATCCAGGTGAGTTAGATTAGTGGGAAGTGATCTCACAGACACCGGCTCCTAGTTGTTGGTATTATAGGAAAGATACAGAACTCAGCAGAAATGAGATGCTATGCAGAACTAAGCAGCCTGCCTTGACCTGAGATCTCCCTTTCTCCTTGGTTCTTCCATGGGGTACACAGCTGTCAATAACATTCTCTGTGCAGTATGGTCCTGTTGGAATCAAATAAATATGCAAGCTCCTGCTCTTCACTTCCTTTTGCACTCCTGTTCATATGACCATACTGGAAGAACTTACACTGAAACACTATGAACTTCATTTAAGAGAATATTTACAAACTCCAAAGCTGACTGGTTCTTGAAGCAAATCTAGATGTAGAGAGAGACGAAAACAATGTCAGGGCTTCCAGTGCCTTGGTGTCTTAATCAACAGTGCTTCCCATCTTTCCTGTATCCTTGTATGCCTAAAGTCCTCTCCTGAAGTTCTATTACCAGGTTTAATCCAGAGAACAAGACCACAAATCCATTTACCTGCTTCCTCTCTTCTAACTAAAATGCATTCAGTTTTCACTGAATTCACAAAGATTCACAAAGATTTCACTGATTCTCAAAGAATCTCTGCTTTTTCCACATTGGGTTTCCTCATATCCAATTTTAGTTTTAAAATTTTAATATGTACTTAAACATTTTTGTTGGTTGCTTTGCTTTCTAGGCATCCACTGAACAACTCAGTTGAATTCCACAAACACTAACTGGGCCCACGCCATAGGAAAGATGTTGTCTTGGGAAATGAAAGTTTTCAAAGATAGATCATACGTGGTTTTTGTCTCAGGGTCAAGCATTTGCATTAATAAAGTGGCCCCCCCACAAAATGACCTCTGTTCCTCTTAGGAGCAACCTACCTTTTTACTGCCCCTATTTTAGGGCTCATTTCTTTCCACACTACAAGTAAAACAGACACAATGGAGCTAGTGCACACCCATATCAGTGGTTCTCAATGATGTTTTTTTTGCCCTCAGAGACACTTAATAATGTCTGGAGACATTTTCAGTTGTCACGACTTGGGAGAGCGGGAGAAGTTACTGGCATTACTGGCATCTAGTAGTAGAAACCAGGGAAGTAGCTAATCCTACAAGGCATAGAGTAGTCCCCAACAACAAAGAGTACTGAGGTCTAGAAACCCTGATTTATAGCTATACATCTACAAGCAGGCTTCTAAAATTACAGGTGTCCAATCCAAACTAACCCTTTCTTCTTACTTTATGCCCAGCATCTGACCCTTCTATCACCAAACACACAGTCCAAAAAAGTGGGTTTTTTCTTGTTTCTTTGTTTTAACTTATCTCACTTGTCTGGGTTTCATTTAAATCATTGTCAGAATCAGATTGACTCTATACTTTTAAGTTACTTTTACTATAACAGCCACAAAATCCAAGTTGGAACAGAATATGTACTCAGGAAGATCAATTCTTCTCCTGGGTGCTCGAATTTGACAACAAAGGAATGAGTGGTGATCCAGCACTTTATTAAATGCCTTCAGCAGGGATTTTCACAAAGCCGCCAATTTCATTTTCTGATAATCTTTATTATGAGACATTTTTCTTTCAGTCGAGAAATCTTCCTACTTTTTCTGCTGTCTGTCACTGGCCTTATCTAATCACTCTGCTATGTTTCATCCCTAAAAATAAGCATAAAGAAAATGAATCTCTGTTCCAATTGTTTTCTTTTCCCTAGGTTTCTTTCTTTTTCTATTATCCTTGAAATTCAAAATTATAAATTCTACTTCGCATCATTCCCTGGAATAGACACTTTGCTTTTCAACACTACTGCCAATACTCACTTCCAGGACACAATACCCCTGAGTTATTGAAAAGGTCTTCTATCAAGATTGCATTACCTCTAATCCTTTCCACTCAGATCTCTGGATGCTCTTTCATAAGGGCAGAAACTATCTACATTCCCTGAAAATCCAGCTCTGAATACATGTTTGGCACATAATTTGCACTTAATATTTCTCTACCATAAAAAAGATGACTAAGTCAAACATATGTTCCATTGTTTGTATGGCATTTATAGGCCGTAAGATATTTGGATATAGGCTTAAGTTCTCTAAACACCAGTTTCTTCTTTCTAAAATGGAATCTAAGCATTCTCACATCCTTTTTCATAGGTTTCATGCCTATGCAGTGCTTTAGGTCAGGAACTGTATTCTATAAATGTTATTCCTTTGATTGTATTTTTCTCATACCATAGTTTTGAATTTTTGTCTAATAATAGCTTTTTGAATATCCATACTTATTTTTACTGAAATGCTGATTTTATCAGAATTTAATGTGATAACTTTGTAATTTAAAGGAAGTTGTCCTATGGTATATACATACATGCTCTAATGTAAAATTTTTCTATGATGA